TCATAAAAATATTCCTGAGAACATAAATCTTGTGTTATTAACTAAACAAAATTTTTAAAATTAATAGTTAAAGGTATAATATTTGACTAAGAGGTGTTTGGGACTGCTCTACTCTACGTTTTTTAACTTCGCTTTATATTTTTTAGCTAAACAGTTTTAGCTTCATGCACATTGTTCGAAGAAAAAGATAGAATTGTGAGAACATATAAAATGATGCTCTACCAACTCTAATTTTTTTGTGAAATTATTTTACGGTAGAGTTTATAGAGCAAAGTTTACTTAACATGTAAGTTCCGTGTGTAAGCGAGGACAGTAGATGAGACAAGCAGATATTTCTAGACCGATCAGCTGCGGCTGCTTTGAAAACAGCTTTGCCTTATCCTGTAAGGCATGTGGTCCCGGTTTTGAAAATGGTTTTCTCTTTTTCGGATCTAGGGCCTAGTATTTGTTGTAGTTGTGACCTTCAGCTTTCAGGCCGCTTTGCTAAGGCTCCGTTTAGATGTAACCCAAAATCTAAAATTTTCAATATTTTTCGTCACATCGAATCTTGCGATACATGCATGGAGTACTAAATGTAGACGAAAAAAAAACTAATTACACAGTTAGTCGAGAAATAGTGAGACGAATCTTTTAAGCCTAAATAGTCCATAATTGGATAATTTTTGCCAAATACAAACGAAAGTGCTACAGTAGCTAAAAGCCAAAAAAATTCGGAACTAAACGGGGCCTAAGCAGATTTTGTTTTTTCTACAATTGATTTACATTAATTCTCCTAAGTGTTTTTTCAAATAGCTACTAGGTGGTTAAAAGTTGAAAAAGTAGTTCTCTTGATTTACTGAACGTAAAAAATCACTTTTAACTGCATAATCACTTCAACCAAAAAATCCCTTCTTATTAAGAGTTATAAGTGAAAAGAGTCCTACCAAGCATGCCTTTCATCAATCGGCTATATACATCCTCTCAGTTTTTGAGAGGTACTCCATTTTCAAAAAAGAAAAAAAAAAAAAAAAGAGAGGAAGAGTTCAGTTCGGTCGATCCTCTCAGTTCCAGACTTCCAGATATCCCCCGTCATATTGATGAAATTTCTCAGCCTCACAATACTTGTTGTACCACGTTGACACGCTTCCACAGAGAATCCTTTTCACAAGACCCTGTCTCTTTCTTGACTTGGCATTTCCTCTTTTGCATGCTAAATCACATTTCTAGTCTCGTCCTCGTCCTCGAGAAAGAAATTAAAGGCGAAACGTTTATGTGGCATTACACTTTCTGAAAAATCCATTTGCTCCGCTTTGCTTCAGTACATTGAGTTCAGCCCACGGGCCTTTTCGAGTCGTGACTGAATACCGATCCACGCGCTGGTCAGCTCAGCTGCCATTTCAGGGTGTGTTTGTGTGAGAAATGAGGTGGTCCATTATCTTCTCACTGCTCACTTTTTATATTTAGTTTATGAAATAGAATGTATTGATTCATCACTACATCATTTTTTACAAGCTAATAATTAGTATATGCATGTGAAATAAGTTGATTTTAACAAAATTTATGGAATAAACTAACGATGCATCACCTCATGATGCATAGATTGACTTCACGAACCAAACACACCCACGAGCTTAGCTTCTTCGTGACAGGTCAGCTACAGATTGTGCATTGCCGCCTTTGTTTTTTTGGTGAGCAACAGCTGCTGCTGCTGGTGTGTTGCTGCAATCTACTCCCTCCGTTGTCCGTTCCAAGCGTAGATGTAGATGTCAAGGCCCACGTAAGTTCGCTGGGGATTTTTGTGTTGCCTGAAGCCCGGGCGGAATGAATGACCCATTGATTGATCCCGTGGACATGGCCTTTGTGGTCCAGTAGGTTGGATGAACCATGAGACCTGTGTTTAGAAGCACAGGACCATGATGAACTCACAAATGCAGAGTAAAAAATGAAAATATGTTTGGTTCAGCAATAATTCTATTACATATGAACAGTTTTGCCTTGTGACTCCGCCGCTTCTTATTCTGTTTCAGTACCAATGATAGGAGGAAACAACAACTCAGGCCATGTTTAGTTTCACCAAAATCTAAACTTTGGCACTATGCAAAAAGAAGATTTTCCGTCACATCAAACTTACGGTACATGTATGGAGTACTAAATGTTGACGAAATAAAAAACTAATTGCACAGTTTGGTTGTACTTTGCGAGACGAACGTTTTGAGCCTAATTAGTCAACGATTGGACAATTATTACCAAATACAAATGAAATGCTACAGTGCGCTACATGAATGAACAGTAAATCAGGCAGCGCCAAAGTTCGGCGAACTAAACGCGGCCTCACTCTGTAGTTTTGTTCAGAATCCTATCATCTTTGTCCTTTTTGACCTGTTCGTTTTTCTTATAATCCGTACTTTTCAACTTGTTTTTTTAATCGGAATAGTGTTTTTCTCTTACAATAAATCAGCCGGAACAGTATTTCAGCTTGTTTTTTCAGCGAAGCGAACGGGGCCTTTATTTGGCCAAACATTGCCACAACTGTCCTTGGACTTGGAGGCTTGGACCAGCACCTGTGCTCGTCACCTTCATCGATGAATAGGCACAGTGCCTGCACTTGAGAGAGCACCTCAAGTGTCTGTTGGCATATACCTTCATCGATGAATAGTGTAGCAATGTCTATTGGTATATTCGTTAGTAATACTGATCTAAATTGATGGCAATATAGTGAATAATCCTCTTGATTCAACTATTGCCGCTGGTCACTTAACTAAAGTCCATTCGATCCTCGTTGGTAGCAATACTTAGTCTTGGACACAATCACACAACCATACAGGCATGCAGCTATCCAGAACTAGGATAGTCTGGATTCATATTTTGAAGGATGTCTTAATGTAAGATGACAGAATCCGTTGTAGTCTAGCTGGTTAGGATACTCGGCTCTCACCCGAGAGACCCGGGTTCGAGTCCCGGCAACGGAAATTTTTTGCCCATCTCCTCTTTTTCTTTCTTGTATAATCTTATCCTTGAGAACGGGCTCTCCCTCTTTTTTTCTCGCTTCTACTTTAAAAAAGAAACCGGATGTTTTATGCTCTACTTGTGTTTATGAAAACTACCGTGTTTCAGTTCTACTACTAGTTGGTAAGAAAATCCAATAGCTGCCAATCAGTGGCATTGTTTTTTTTAAGGGAATCAGTGGCATTGTTGGATGTTCAGAATCGGATATATATCTATTTGAGACTGGGATTAATTATGAGCAAACCAATAGTAGTTTTTCCATAGTGCTTGGACCTGGAAGTTCAACCTGTATTTCACAAGTGCTTGGATGCTTCCTGTTCAATAGTTTTTTAGGTGTTTCTCCGCTATATATAGAAGTTGAATCAAACAAGCAGCCATGTAAAAAGATTAATCTAACTGTAAATGATTTTTTCCTAAAGTATTTGCTGGCAGAGATTTTACCGGTGGATAAGAACAAGCTGTTGCTTAGTAACTACGTATCCAAAATCATTACCTTTTTTTTTTGTTCCAGTTGGCGATGAGGAATCACGGGGAATCCTACAACATCAACCATCTTAGCTATAGCTGTGTTCCTTGGAGGAAGCTCTCTTTGTTTTCGGTCGCTGGGCAGGGAACAGGTCAATGTGGCGGCCTGCGGACGAGTTAGAGTGTTGTTTAGTGGCCATTTCCTCTTGTAATTCTTTTGTAATTATGTTTTCATTTTCTATGGTCTAGTAAAAATCCGGCAAAGCTCTTGTGGTCTTTTTAAAAAAAATATGTAATTCTTCTGTATGCAAAGTTTCATATAATTGATATAGATCTTGTCTGGATGTACTAGTAAACTTTACTTTATCTTCCATTATTTAAACACGACGTTCCGGTCTTCCGGAGAAAAGCTGCTTTCATGCATGTATTCATGCCCAAACTGAAATGTACTAGTACCTCCAATTCGAGAATCTCTGCATTTTTGGCAACCTACAAGATATTAAAGAATGCTTCACCTCTCCACTTTTCAAGTTCGATTCGCCAGAGGTGGTGCAAGCTGCTTGTGTCAATGTATGCATATGTAGAGATTGAAAAGTGAACGTGAACCAATGTAGAGAGCTGTTTGTCAATGTAGAGGTGGTGCAAGCTGCAAGCAGGTGAACGTGAACCAAACAGGTTTTAGGATTTTAGCGCTGCGGGCGTCCAAACAGTCCAAGCACTTCAAGTAATGTGGTTCTAGCATGTATATATACAAGCTTGCTCGCTTCAACTTGTTGGACTTATTGGGCTGTGGCTTATTGCACTGTTCATAGCTAGGTCAGATGTACAAACAACATCATCATCTAGAACTCTAGAAGCAATTCTGTTATCGAGCTAACGATAGAGCCAAGCCAAGTTGGGCCTTAAAAGCCCAGCCTCGTGACAGCATGAAATTAATAAATGGACGACATAGAAAATGAGCTCAAATTCTTCTACTGATGATAAATAAAAAAGTCGGCATCTGCCGCCGTTCACATCATTCAGCCGAAGAGGGAATCTGCCCGACCTTTCTTGAACATATCCTGAGGGGAAGATGAAGTATTATGCTAATAAGTCGGCATGGTACATCCTCAAATTATATAAAATTTTAAAAAATACAATTTTCTATCTAGGTGCTTCAATAGTTTGCTTCCTAATAGTCTTCATCAAATGTATGTGGTGCTCTGGATGAACAAAGCCACTAAACATTGAAGCCAGACCAGAATCCTTACGTCGAATCCACCGTCAAACCTTAAAACATTTGACATGCCATAAGATTCAACACTTCTAAACCTAACTGAAAAGCATCTGAAGCAATGAGATAACACTGGCAGTCGCATTACTGTAGAATACAACACGTCAACACCTCCAATACTTCACCCATCAAGGTAGATTCCTGATTTCCTCTCTACGGCGAAAGGCGAGGCCTGAGGGTTTATCGGGTCCGTCGACCCCAATAAAATTTGTAAATCCTTTAGTAAATTGCCATCCAAGCTCAAAAAAAATTATATCACAAGAAGAAGTTGATCCCAATGAAGTTTTTTTTGCTAGATTCACCACTGCTCTGCGGCCATCGACCAAACTCTGAGTGGTTGATGACCTTGGGCTTACAAGTTAGGGCCTGCATAAGGGTATGTACAATGCAAGGGCGCTTAAACAGAAGCCTAAGGTGAAAGAATAAATAAGCATCTATGTAAGAGCCTTGGCTTGCAATGGTAGTCTTATTCAAATTATGCTTAATCACTGTGGCGGCTAGACCGCTTGTAAATTATAAACTTCTTTCTTCTTAATGCAATGATACGCAACACTGTTGCGTATTCCATGAAAAAATTATGCTTAAATAGCTAAGAGCCACTTTAAGCATCAAAAGCTGCAATGCAAATCACATATTCCTTGAATATTTTTGTACAGTTTCAAGCGCCTGGGCGCTTCAAGCCAAGCCAAGCGTCGAACGCTTGCCGGAGCGTCTCAGGCCGCATGCCAGGCTTGCATGTGCTGCCCTCCACTGTGGCAAACGGCCACGAAACTGCAAGTAAGAGCCTTGCGTTGTACGTGGCCTAAGGAGTGTCCAGGATCACAGATCATTTGGCAGATATATATCACAATTTAGTCAATCGACGACCACAAGGGTTACCTCGTTGTGACCATCATCGAAGCCAATATTGTGATTAAGCTCTAATCCTCAAATTAGTTTTTGACTCCGTGGATAAATTCATTTGGATAAAAAAAATATAAGATAGACGACTACTTGACTTACTTGTAGGATACATGTCCCGTCTTTTTTCTCACTAGCAGGCAGTGCAGAGGCCCTAGGACTAGGAGGCTGCGGCTACGTCAAGTCGAGAACACACATGTACCAGTTTCATTTTACATCAAACGTAGCTTTATAATGAGTTTCATTTTCTTTTTCACTTCTCCACTTACCTCTGTAAGAGTAAGACTGCAGCCTCATCGTGTTGTGTGAAATTTCTACCCTCCCTTTCATTTCACCATTTCCTTTTCCTCCTTTCTGAGAATAAGGAATCGTTGGATATAAATACAAGACAAACCGGTAAAACAACAAGGGATATTTACCCCACGGTAAACCATTGAGATTATCACGCATTAGGTGTTTTACCGTATGAGTCTATTCCCTATAAATTGGGCGTCATATTGTACTCTTGAATTCCTGTGCCCCCCTCTGGGAGACAAGTGTGTTGGTTTAGTACACAAGCTAAGGGGTGAGGATGCTCAAGAAGGGGAAGTGGTCAAGGAGGAGGATGACTTGATCATCAACTACATTCAGAGGCATGGCAGCATCGGTCGGAGTTGGCAGTCCTTGTCCGACAGTTTAGGTTTGTATACTGCTCGTCATTCATCTCTGTTTGCGCATTGTCATCTCTGTTTGCTAGCACTGTCATCTTTGTCTGCTAGCAGTGTCACTTCTTGATCAAGCAGCCACGCGTCGTCAAATTGCTCTCTCCTCAATGTATTTAACTCGTATATATCTGACATGATAGTTGCAATGCATGCATAAGCTAAAATAAATTGCTCTCGTCAGTGTTTCAGATACTCCATTATCTAAAAACAAGTTTTTTTTTTCAATGGCTCTCTGCAGGGCTGAGGCGGTGCGGGCGGAGCTGCCGTTCCCGGTGGCTGAACTACCTCCGCGCGGGTCTGAAGCACGGCAATTTCACGCTGGCCGAGGAGAGGATCATCTGCGAGATGTACAGCAAGAAGGGAAGCTGGTAAGTCTCACATGAACCCATTCTCAATGTCCACTACAAGTGCAAGTAGTGCAGCCACATCTGACAACATGGATTGCCATGGTTATTTTTTAGAAGTTAATCCATTCTGCAACAACTGCAGTCTTTTACTCACTGATTTCATTGAACGTACATATTGAGTTGTTGAACTGCTGTTTTATTGCACTGAGATTTCATATCGGTTATTGCACTGAGATTTCATATCAGTTAATTACTCAGTAGATAATAAAAATGTAGTGCATAGAATTGAAGCACTATCACTGACATGCTGCAAATTTCTTGGATTGGTTGGTCTGTTCACCCAACAGCTGGTCCGTCATCGCCGCTCAGCTTCCCGGGAGGACCGACCTCGCCATCAAGAACTACTGGAACAGCACGCTCAAGAAGAAGTACCTGCTCCCAGCGGCGAGAAGAACCGCCGCCACCTGGGGCCGCCGGACCTGCCCGACCGGCAGCACGTCGTCCGACTCCGCCGGGGTTCCGGCTCGGGGCCTGCAGCTAGTTGTCTACAGCAGCGAGGAGAGCTCCACGGCTGGGTCCTCCAGCCCCGTCGTCAAGCCCGTCCTGGCCGGCCCGACGCCGGTTCAGGTCGCTGCCGCCGGCCAAGAACCGATCGCGTCGGTCCCAGTTAGTGGACCGGTGGTGGGGATCGAGCAGAAGCCGGCCTTGGTGACCCGACTGCCTCTGGAGAAGACGCTGCCGCTGCCGCTGCTGCTGCCGCCACCGCCACCACCGGCCGGTGGTCAGGTTGGAGAGAGGCTCATGGACCTCGTCTGCATTCCCCTGTCTCCGATCCCTCTGAACTTCATGGAACCGGAGCTGCTGGCTTGCATCGACGGCTTCGATGACACTGAGAGCTTCTTGCCATGGTTTGATCATCACTGATCTGATGATAGCATCGTAGCCTCATGACTGGTTCAGAGATTAGAGTTAGAGTTAGCACTGGTGGCTTAGGATTACCTGTAGGATTGTCAATTTGTCATGTGCTGTGTGTTCTGTTACTGTTGTGTGTTGTCTTTGTGCGTTCTTGTGGAATTAACACTCTCTGTTGTTTAGGGCTAACGAATGTTGTAGTTGTGGGTTGATCTGGTAACAGTACCTTCTCTTTGTTTCTGAACACTGCATATGTTTCTTCAGGCATGTTTATCTTTACTGAAAAAAAATTTGGGGGATCAATCTTTTATGCCAGTGGCTCATTGTCTTTTCTTCTTCATTGTGCTTTTAGAAAAAAAATCTGTTCTGAATACAGAGTATGCATCAAAGTTACCAATCTCTGTAACAATTTGCAACAGGAATCAAACTACTTCCAATTTTGAATTAAACAAGTACTATGTTATGCATATCCGACATATTTCCTTATAAACAAGAAAAAAATAACCAAGAAAAGAATATGCTGTGGTAAAAGCAACCAGAAACTGCATGAATTCATCAAGCAACCGGGTCAAACGTGGCCAAACTCCCGGGGTTCTTTTAACCATATTGCACAGCTCCTTCAGATTTAAGTGCTCGAGTATCCGACTTTCTTGTTCTTGCAGTGTGGAACAACGATCTTGGGAGCGTCAACGTGCATTCTCAGGGAGCTGAACTCAAGAGCGAAAATGGGCCTGGATAACAGAACTGAAATGCTCTGGCTTTGGGCATCCAAGTCAGTTATCACGTTAGACCCAGAGCTGATCTTGCCGTCAGATTTTTCCTGTGGCTCTGTGGTTCTTGGACTACAAATCCTAGCAGGCTTTACAGGGCGCACCCTGTGGAAGAAAATAGTTGCTTAGAAAGGCAATAATTTGTTGAAAATGCCATCAATGTGTATCTCAGGACGTTCACAGAGTTTATTTATGTCAGCACCTGCATTCTATTTGACAGGAGTACTTGAGAAGATCAGGATGGTCCTCTGTCTGACCACTGAAATTTGCAAAGCAAGCGAGACATATTTGTTCAGAGACAATATATATTTTGACGAGGATTTCTTTTCTTTTGTTTTCTCAATATGGCTACGCGAAGCATTTAATTTCGTTACACTTATTTACATGTTTTGGAACCTGGCAGCTTTCTTTTGAGAAATCATGGAGGCCATCCGGTTCGTTTTACCTAACCTGAAACTTGGAAGTGAGATTCTGATTGCTGGGCCCATCCACTTGTGGTTCTTATGTGATCCTGCTGTCCACTTCCACATGATTAGAAACTGAAATAAAGCATTGAATCAACAAAGCCAAGGTTCGTGAGTACCATTTTGAGAGTGAAAAGGATAAGGTTAGGAAAATGACATTCTGAAAGACATATTGGAAACGCCTAGTATTTGACATCCATTGATCCTCAGTGATGAAGTGAGGTAAGAGTGATTGGATAAAATACAATGCAACAAATTCAGACTAATATATGCATGGTTTCTGATGAGCCTATAATGCCTTACTGGTTAATAATTCTGGTAAAAAAAAACAATGCATTTTCCATGTTCAAGAATGTAACTGAAAAGTTCAGGCAATGTATCTCTACAGGACAAGGAAACAAGTACAACTGTGAGCCTAACAATTACTTCTGCATAACCGTGTGACGTGGCTTCGATGTACCAATCAGATAAGAAGACTGAAATTACCGGTAAGTGGCATGCTGATGTTGCACAAATGCCTACTAGATGAGCCCTTGGTCTCTGAAATCTCAATCTCACGGCCATTCCCTTGCTTGGAGGTTGTCGACCCAGTTCCTAGCATGTTAAGGAAGCTGTTTGGTTTGACCAGCAGTTTATCCCCGAGTGAAGCAGCTTCAGTCTATCTCATGTGACAGATAGGTTACAAGTCTCATATAATGATAACATTTTTCAAGCCTAACGAACAGTCCTATATTCTGAATGTAGCAATGGGTTTGTATGTACACCTTTGAGAATGTAGCAACATGGCTTGGTAGTCCTACTTCCTGCAAGAATTGGAATGGCTCCAATTAAGGCGAAGGAAGCAGTAGGACAACAAAGTGATACAGATCAGAGAGGAATTCCGACGGTAACCTTGCGGCCGTGCCGGCAGGCTTCGACGCTGTTCACCAGCACCCTGGCAGCCCACCTGAAAATAGGTTCAGACAGTATATCACTTCAGAACCAGCAAGAACTGAAAAGGTTCAGTCAAGCAAGTCATCCTATGCACCAGCAAGGGTCTGGACTACTGAAGCAGGAGTACTACCGCTAGATTTCATCAGCCGAAAAAAAAAGAAACAAAAAGCAAGTCATCACTTCATCTTTCAGCAGAACAACCGTGGAGGGAGAAACATCACTATTCAGAGTTCAGTTGCTGCATTTCATCTGCCTCTGCAGCTCTGCTTGGTACTGTACATACCACATGCATATATTCTTCTGTCCTCTCCATCCCACGGAAGATGAGGAAACCGCGGGCGGCTGCAGCTGAGCTGAGCTGCGGAGAGCAAGTTGGTGTGACGACCCGGGTCATTACCACTATAAATAATAACTCTGGCCTATAATTTATCACCCAATAGATACAAAATTTATCGACTAATAAACCATAACAAAGTTGGCAACGGAGAATAGCTAGAGGGTACTAATAATTATTACAATACCATTCTAGGCACTTAAGTCCTTAAAGAAGTGCCATAAGTTTGCGCATTATTACAAGTTCGACATATAGAGGTCTAAACTAGATTATTAAGTGAGCGACAAAGACATATCGTCACTGACATACATAACTAAACTAAGGGAATCATTTATTCATCCCATCCACCATAGGAGGTGGCAGCAACCCGTCTAGTTTCTTCATAGTCAACCCAATTTACATCGGCATAGCCATCATCTAGAGACCCTTGTGCATATTCTTGAGGATCTTCCGAAGAGGGAGAGTTAACAAGAGTGAGTACAACGTACTCAACAAGCATATAAATATCAATGCAATGCAATCTAGTCATCTCAAAATGATCAATAATGCTCTTCAAATAACATCTGTAGAAAAAGTCAGTTTAGTTTAAAAACAACACTACTATCACTTGTATCTTGAGAAAGAGCCACCCATAGGTTCCCGTAGCCTCTGATCCCAGAGACATGACATGAATTCATGATTTTATCATGTCTCGCATGTTTGTATCACTTTAGCCATAATTACCTTGACCAATTTTCCATCGCACTTCCTTTCGTGCGACTCATGGTCAAGATACTGAACTTTCCCCATTTTGTATAATTATACATCCACATTTATCCACGTGCGTTAATATATGCGCCTGAGTGTACTTCATTGACACCTGATTGAGGATTTTATCACCCAACCCTCTCCTCACTTACCATAGGGATTATACAACAACTCCATGGGTACTAGAATCGGCCCGTCCCAAACGAGTTCATGGTTGACACGAATTTATACGGCCCAATAACACAAGTGAGAGTTGGTTATTAGTCCTACCAAACTTTTCCATCCAAATATACACTAGGGAATTAGCTGCTCCATCAGCTAACCCCATGTCATCAAATTCAAATGTCATCCATCCATAGTCAATTTTAGAAAATAATATTTAATGCAGGTTACTTTTATTTTCTTAAACTTTGTATAAAAACTCAAGGAGAAAATGATCAAGGATTCTTGCCTGAGTTGTTAGGATTCAACTCGGGCTCAGTTTGGTTCGCTGGAAGATCCTGCGCTTCCTGTAATTAGTATAAATATATATTGGTATTTAGCAAGATGAAAAAAGAGAGTATATATATACTTAACACATACGTAGCCATGTGTTCATCCTACAGTCAAGGAAATGGCTTCTGGGTCCTTAGTATCAATTAAGCTGTGATTTATAAAGGAATATTGTATAGCTGTGCTTAGTAAATCATTGAATTAGTTTAGTATATTGTTAAGCCCCTTTTTTACTCTCACATGAGCTGCACCTGCACCTAATTGAAGCCATCCACTGCTCAGTACTACTACTACTTTGCAGCCCCAAAAGCACATCAGCAGACACGCACATCTCTCCATCCAGTATCTTCTCGTCTCCCTCTCTTTCCTCTCTATCTTTCCCCCCCTGCTACTCATGGTGCTCAGGCTACCTTTCTCGAATCGGCAACCATGGTTTGATTTCCTCCTCGATTTCTCTCTCAAAACCAAATCCAAGGACACTAGCAGCTATCTAAACATTTTTTCCTTCGATTTCTTCCTCTGTGATGTGTGCAGGTTGGGCGACAGTGGCGGCGTGCTCCACTGAGGTGTTGAGCTGAGCAGCCATGCCACCTAGGCAAGCCAAGAAGGCCCGAGCATGCTGATGTGCGGGGGTTTGGGCTCCAGCAACAATCCTCCTCAACCTGACAGTAAGTTCCTCCCCCTCACCTCTTCCTATTCTCTCGTTTTGTTTTACCTAGCCTGCAACTCTGTAACTCGAAGATACATGCCTGAGTGCTCTAGATGTACATGTTCTTGTGTTAGTGTTTTAGTCAAGGCTCAAGTATTTTTATGTGTAGCTTTCTACTAAAAAGAATGCCTGTTCTTGTTCTGATAATAGTTGGCATATCTCTCTTGGCCTAAAATATTATTGAGCGCCTAATTGTTGTGCTGCTCTAGAACAGATGGTTCTTCCCGTGGAAGGTGCTTTGTGTTCTTGGTAGAGAGAAGAAGAAATATTCTAAGATGTGCTTGTGAACCTCACCTTAATCTTGATGCCGTTTAGCTCCAACCTTGGGCTTATTTCCCTCAGACACTTGCTCCTTCTCTTGCAGGTCTTGATTGCTTCAAAAGTGCTTCTGATTTGCTTGTAGCACTTGGGCTCTCTGGTGACTTCCTCTCCTGGTCAGCCCCCCTTCTCACCCCATGTCGCTCTCCATGGTGATCAAGTCACCATCTTGTGCTGGTGGAAGAGTTGGTGTTTTTCTCAAGCAAGGAGTGCACGAGGTGTTTATCTGGAGTCCTCAACCTTGA